GTTCCTTCCACATTAAACTTTCACCAGCAAACAACTGTGCTGGTAAAGGAGAGATGTCCAGGATGAACAGAAGCAGCTGGTGCTTCTCTCCACTTTTCTAAAGATCAAGGGGTGTTAAAGAAAAAAGTTATTTTTATTATTGTAGCAGAAAAATCCTAAAAACAAATTCATAAAGACTGGGAGTTGGGGGAAGGGGGTGAAGGTCGGCGGGACAGGGAGACAGCCACAGCTTTTTCGAATTATAAACATCATGTAACTTATTTTTAAATGCAAATTTAAACTATGGGAAAAAAAAAATAGTATGGAAGTAAAAGGATTATACTTGCTGAATAAGAGGATCTGAAAGGACCAGCTTTCCTACATTGAAGGCCAAGTAAAATTCCAATGGCCAACAGTGATAGGTGCTAATGTGAGTTCTGTCCAGAAATGGTTTAGGACTATCCGTAACAACTAGCTCCCCTCCGCCAGGGTCAGAGTTTCTGGGTCAATGTTTATTCACCGAGAGCTGGAAAAACTTGCTGTTGCTGTTAAGTGCTGCTGAGTCGGTTCCGACTCTTAGTGACCCTGTACAGGTTGCTGGGTTTGAACTGCCAACCTTGTGGTTCGCAGTCCAGTGTTGATCCTACAACACTACATCAGCTTAGTGATCCAAAAATTCCATCATCTTTTCATTCTATTTTTCCATGAACGTTTTGAAGTCCCCAGGTATTATCTGCAACTTCCTCACTTGCCCTTTCAACGACAGTCACAGAACACTTGCTGGGCAGCTTTCAAACATGAGAGTTGTAAGAATAGCACAAAAGGTGGTACACAGGCAAACACGGTGGACGTTAGGGCATAATACAGATGTGCACACACAGAGTTAGAAGCCAGTTCCAGGGGAGTTTGCACGTGATATGCATCCATGCTGTTTACTTCAGAGGGGCCAATGCAATGCCAGTGGTGTGGACTAAACACATTCTGAGTCTTAGACACTGTACTTTAGAAACAAACACAGTTAATTAGGCACTTACTATGCTGCTCATGAATGCTTATTGGAGTTACATGATAAACAGAATAAGAACAGAATTAGGTGACCTTAAAAATGACGGTATTCACAGTTTCAAAATAAGAGAAATAAATGCATAGGCCATTCACTGTCACTGCCATTAGAATCCTGTGTCATGTCCTGATCAACAATGTCATACCATAGAAAGACTGCATGTGGCCTACCTAGTCAGTAAATCAAGCTGCCTCTATGTTCAGGACCCAAAACTTAAATATTTAAGAAAAAGACTTGATATTTTCATTTTAATTAAAGTTTTCATTTCAATAGTTTCTCTGAATTGCTCAAATTCAGAAGCAGTCTGAGCTTAAGATTTTACTCAATATCCTTTGTCCATTAATTTATACATGTCCAGTAAAACTTTCAGGTGCATAACAAATCATGGTGGGTTGTGCACACTTCTGAAAGAGAAAGACCAGATCCAGGAGCAAGCTAAGATATGTGAAGAAAGTGATTCAGAGGAGGACACTGGAAAGATGATATGGTGGCCAACAGAGTTTCTGTTAGAGAAAGGCCAGCTAACAACCAACAAGTCTCAAGAACGGTTGAGCTCAAAGGGATCTTAGAAACCTACTTAGTCCTCGCTCTTCATTTAAAAGAGGAAGGAGCTAGGCTATGCCACCTAGCTGTTAGTGGCAAAGACGAGACTAAAGGTTTCGTTCTATGCCCATCTCGTGTATGTTAATATCAGATATACTGACTCTGAAATAAAATTACCTATGAAAATGTAAATAGGAAGGCCACTAAACCCACTGCCATTGAGTCTATACTGACTCACAGCAGCACTTCAGGAGAGGCTAGAATTCCAAGGCTGGAATCTTTAGGGAAGTAGACTGCCACGTCAGCCTTTCGCGGAGGGGCTGGTGGGCTTGAACTGTCTGTCAACCACCACACTACCAGGGCTTCTTAAGAAGACCAATGATAAGCTAAATTTTAAGAATTTCTCAAATACTACATTAAATAATGTCTCACTTTGTTTTAAGTCGTCGATTTCCTGGTCATAAATGCTCATTTCTATTCATACCCTAGTACTTCATTTGCCCACCTATCAGCCTGACTATATAACTAAGATTCCCTTGAATGACCAGAAATGTGCAAAATCAGATATGAATGGGTCAATTCTATATCACAACCAAGGTGCTTTTCAGATGGTCTTACCTTCTCTCAGTTGTACTTAGAGGACCTCATCAGAAAATGTTAACTTTCTGCAAGTTTTCTGGTTGTGGCTGAACCAGTAACGCCTCTTGATTTTGTGTGGAATGACTATTAGAGCCAAACTGAGTCTCAGTCAAGAACTCATTCAGCCAAGATGGAAGCACTACATAGCTTCAGTACTTTTGAGGGCATAAGTTGGTTGCAGTTCTTGCTCAAGAGGTAAGTTCAGAAGGTGGTTCAGTCATCTCTCAAATAGTCAAAACTTTAGAATGAGCGGCTTGTCAGAGAGGTGCAAAATCAGACAAGAAACCATTGGCAGTTATCTGATGCCCTGACATGCACAAATGATGGCAAGAAACACTCTGACACCTAATTGTTTTCAGTAACACACCAGGTTCTGGATTGGTGTCAGTTCCTAGATTGGTGAAATGTTTTGTGCTAAAGGATTAAAACTGCTGGATTTGGGATGTAGGTTTGCAAATCACTGGAAAATCTAAAAGAGAAATATTCTATGTTAAAAAGGTGACCTTACGTCTACAGATACAGAATACAATACACTTGAGAGCCCTCAGTTGTCAGGACAGGTACTGAGATTGCCTGTGATACCAGGGCTCAAATGGTAGTGTTTGGCCTGTTGTTTTAGGATCGATGTAAAAAATATTATGTCTTATGCAAAGGCCACCACTTAAACTCAGGACTTGTCTGCTACTATTTGTTTTTAATATAAAGGGAGTTGTGACTTGGGTCTGCTTCCAAAAACACACAACATGGAAGCAAGACAAATAACAGAGGCAGACACAAAAACAAACTAGAATGACTTCAAAGGAATTTATCAATAAGGAACAATATGGAATCGAGTTTCTTTTTTTTTTTTCCTCTAGGACCATCCATTGGTGTAGGTGGTGGTGGTTATGTGCCATGGAATTGGTTCCGACTCATAGTGACTCCATGTAGCGTTTCCAAGGCTATAAATCTTTACAGGAGCAGAAAGCCTCATCTTTCTCTCACAGAACTGGTAGTTTCGAACTGCTGACCTTGAGGTTAGCAGCCCGACTTGTAACCACTATGCTACCAGAGATCCTTACAGAGAGTATAGGCGTGGCTATATGACAAAGATGTTGATTGTAAGAGTGAATTGTAAACTAGCTGCATATCTTAATCCTTCTCTGGTGGTGGTGTGCTGTGGTGTCGGTTCAGACTCATAGCGACCCTGTATAGGGTTTCTGAGGCTGTCAATCTTTATGGGAGCAGAAAGCCTCATCTTTCTCCTGCAGAACAACTGGTAGATTCCAGCTGCTTACCTTAGGATTAGCAGCCTGACTTGCAACCCCTACGCTACCAGAGTTCCTTCTCTAGGATCTATTTTGTAATAATTTAAAAAAAAAAAAAAAGACAAGAAACAAAGGACTGAAGGATTATTTGAAGTCAGTTTGATAAGAGAATCCAGAATTTTGAAAAGAAATCTGTTCTTTCCAATATCATGAAAATGACGATACTACAACATTATAGACCCGACAGCTTGGAAACCTAGCCAACAAACTGCCCTCTGATCCTTAAAAACATGGACAAATTATACAAACCTCTGCTCAGAACTCACTAAATTTGATTTTAAAAGATTATATTTCAAATAAGAGAGGCATCTGAAAATTCAAAATGATTTTTTAATACTCAATCTCAAAGTTTAGGCCATTGGTCCTTGATTGGAGAAAAGTAGGCCTGCGTTAGCAATGACCTAAATACAGCTTTTGATCTTCTTTATAGACTGTTTAAATCCTAAACAACAGTGAACCTACAGCTCACTTAAAGAATACTAGTACCAGCTGCCATGAGTTGATTTTTATTTTTATTCATGGCAAGCCCAGGGAAGTCAGAGGAGAACTGTGTCGTTTCAGTGACTGATCTTTTGGAACCAGATCACCAGGCCTTATTCCAAGGGGCCTCAAATGTCCAGCCTTTCAGCTAGCAGCCGAGCACATTAACCATCTGCAGCACGCAGGGACTCCCATTTTAACAATACCTTCCTGTTAAATAGAAAATGCCTTCTACTTAACGTCACTGCTAAGTAGAGTTTTCTGGATGGAAGCACTGTACCGTTTCCTTCTTTAAGAACAAAAGGGAAAATCATCAAGTGGGTTGTTTCAAGGGTTCTGAAATGGCCCCTGGGTATTGCCATGAAAGTAGCATGCCCCTGTTGGAAGGAGTGAGCCCTTGGCAAGCCCACCTTTTCCCACTGCCTAACAGTTACCTATGCTAGGTGTTGCTTCTGCTAAAGTATCTGCTTGTCTGCACTGGTAGTGGTGGTGATGATATGCCATGGAGTCGGTCCCAACTCATAGCAACCCTGCACACGGTTTCCGAGGCTGTAAATCTTTACGGGAGCAGAAAGCCTCATCTTTCTCCCGTGGAACCGCTGGTAGTCTTGAACTGTTGATCTCAGATTCGTAACCACTAAACTACCAGAGCTCCTTCTTGCCTGCACCAGCCAATGGTTAAGTTTAAGAAACATCCAAAACTCTATTTCTATCCACTAAACCTAGGAGGAGACTTGGCTAGGACTTTTCTTAAAAAAGAGAAGACTCTTTCCATTAGAAGAATGGCACTGATCAAGCGCTGAGACATTCTTAATCAGGCTGTGGTGGTAATGTAAGCCTCGGAAAGAGGGGATAGGATCTGGCACAGAGAGACAGGAAAGCGTCACATCTATAGACAATGCAGCCCCAAGCACGGTGAGTAAGTGAGCAGCCAGCCCTGTGTGGGTGCCCATTCGACTCTCACAAACACAGCCCTGCACACGACCTACCTGCTGTGGTCCTGCCTGTCGCCCAGCTCCTTTTGCAGCCTCACATTCTTCTCCTCTTCCTCCAGCAGCCTCCTCTTCACAGTGCGCAGCTCTTGCTGGGCCTCACACTTGATGTCGTTGGCTACCACCACGGCGGTCTGCAGGTCGGCCTGGAACCTCCTCCACTCCTCAGTATCCTCCTGGAAACCCAGACCCCAACACCATCAGGTGTCTGCTGGGGATGGTACCCAGACGACCAGCCGGGCTCCCAAGTCCCTCCCCATGTTGACCACAGAGAAGGAATGCTGCGGGAAGAACTCGGTGACCCACTGTTTTTATGTTCACTTGCTTCTAGGAAGAGGCTCGGGTGGAAACTGCACCTTAGTGTTAGCAGAGTTTGCCATCCGAGAAAAGAACTGCTCTCAGTTTTCCTCCTGCCACATTCATTTATAGCTCCAGGCTTATGATGAAGAAATGTATTATGAGAAAAGCAACTAGAGAAGATAATTGGGGTATTTTTTTGAAGGCTTCTGTAAATCATAAGGTCTGCGGTTTGGGCCCACCAGCGGTTCTGCAGGCAAAAAATGAGGCTCTCTGCTCCCACGAAGACTTAAAGATTTGGAAACCTTATACAGAGTCATTATGAGTCGGAACTGACTCCACGGCACTTTAACAACAACAAACCTACGCAAAGAGAGGTACTATTTGTACTGCTGTAATTCACATCTCACCTTTATCTGCTTAGTCAGAGTCTTTAGCTGCCTCTCCAGGTCTGACTTCTGTTCCTCCAGCTTCAATACATTACCTAGAAATAAACAAACCAGATAGGAGTTGTAGGAGTTGAGAGACCCCAGGGAGAGGGTAAACTACGTAGCAAAGAATCAGCCTTGAATAGTACCACAGACCTTCAAATTTATCAGTTCTACTATAAACTCCAACTTTTAGCACTCTGGAGGCTAGAAGTGCGAGGTTCCTCCAAAACTGAGAAAAGGGATGCTCTAAAAAATACGTAGTACTTAATTCTGTTATGTCCTCAAATGACAAGTTATATGACCTTGTAGTACTAGTCACATACAATCTTCCTGAATGCCATTTTCTGTTGTGAGGAGAAGATGTATTATGATAGAGGTTCTGACTAGCTGTTACAATGGTGACTTTTGGACCAGGGTCTAGACAGTGGTGTTGAAACATCAGGGTCCCTTGTGAAGCTTTTCAAGTATCTGTGTTTGAATGAGAATCTCCAAAGGTAGACAAGAGTCTGGACATAATTTAAAAACCTTCACAGGTGACCTGACTACTACTGTTAGCTGTTGTTGAGTTGACTGTGAGTCCTGATGACCGAATGTGTACAGCGAAGGACTACTCCAGAGGGTTTTCCAGGCCTTGATCTTTTAGAGCAGATAGTCAGGGCTGTCTTCCAAGGTACCTCTCGGGTGCCTTTTGGCTAATAGTTGAGTACTGCACCATTTGAATCACTAGGGATTCCACGGTGGCTTGAACACCTCTCCCTAGGTAAGAACAGCTTCAATTTCTTATTTTCCCTGACTCATTCTCTCCATCTTTAAATTGGCCTCCATCCTGCTATCGGAATCACTTAAATTACAATCTGATGACATCATTTCCCTGCCAGAGTTCTTCCATGGTCCCTGATAGTCTATTCCAGAACAGTAGCTGTATATTAGGATGTGAGGTGACTCTGTAGGGTAAGCACTGGATTTTGAACCACAAGGTTGGCAGTTGCCCACCAACCATGTCACGGAAGAAAGATGAGACTTTCTGCTCCCACAAAGATTTACCACCTTGGAAACCTTGTACAGGGTCACTATGAGTCAGAATCGACAGGATGGTACTTAACAATGACAAAGTTTTAAATTATGGATATGAAATGGAATAATCACAGAAACTTATAAAAAAACAAACAAGTGGCCCTATTCCAGTGGTTCTAATTCAGCAGGTGGAGTATTCGGTAGCATTATGTTTGGGTTCAGTGCTACCGACTTAGGAAACAATCCTAAACTTCCTTTAATTTTCTGTCCATTTCTCTCAAGAATTTTATGGGCAAGAAAAAATTAGTCTAGGGCAGAATTTTCATGTCCCTGGATCTCCTAGCCAAAAGACATTCCAATGTCATAATAGTAATTACACATATACTTTCATATCCCTCAGTGAATAACCACAAGGAGTGGGCCTAAAATTTGCTCTGGAGAGTAACTATATGTTGGCTTGTTTGATGTGTTTGATTTGGGACAAAATAACCCAATTCTCAAGAGCAGTATTATCATCAAAACAAAACCAAGAAACAGAACTCTCCTCTTTGACTTTATTCTTTCCAAGTGTGGTACCATGTTTGGAAATACGTATTGGCAAGGGCTTCTAGGTGATGTATTGTATCCTTAAGCATGACTATTCAGCATAGTCAAAGTGACAGAGGCTACTGCACATCGCTGATGAAGAACAGAACAGGTTTGGGCACTAAATCGGACGCTAACCAATTAATCACGGTAGAGGATATAGATGCTGGGGAGCTTTCCAGGCAGCTGAGTAAGCTACTATTTGAGTGAAGGCAAGTGAGAGTACAAGCTTTGCACATTAATCTTCTTTTATCACAAGAGTAAAACACATTAGATAAAGCTTATTTGAACAAAGCAGGCTTTTTAGCCTTTAAAAAAAAAAAAAAAAAGGGCTTTCCTATTCAAAGCAAACTGTGAGTTTATAAATATACCCTATATTGATGCCTTTTCAGATCTAGGTGATCAACATCTGGAAGTTATTCGATATCCTCCCATCAATAGGACACAGGCTGGGACTGTTTTCTGCCCGAGGCCAATAGTCCATGCGTGTGTATCAGTCTGACATCTCTCATCTATCATTCTACCAGCAGATCCAAAGTCAACACATTGTCAGGAGATGGCGATTGTGCTGCTGATATTGTTGCTGTGTGCTGTTAAGTGGGCTCTGGCTTTCAGTAACTCCACGTGACAGAGCAGAATTGCTCCCTAGGGTTTCCAAGGCTGAAATCTGTACGGAAACAAATCACCATGTCTTTCTCCCACGGAACGGCTTTCCTTTCAGTTAGCAGCCGAGGGATCAACTGTGGCGTCACCAGCGCTGTGGGGACTATTTTGAATGAGCCTCTAATAACCATGATTACCCTTAGGAAAAGTCTATATGAACTATCAAATATCATAACTGAAGTTGAGGGTCAAACTAGATTAGATTTTCTAGACATAGGAAGCAACATGGTTCATACACAGGGCACTGGACACAATCCAAAACACATTTGCTCTTTTTTATAATTACCCCACGTTGTGAATGCATGTTCACTTTGTGACATTCCATGATTCCTTACAATCTTTTCTTCTAGGCCACCCAGTTTTTAATTTCGCCTAAGAGGTTTATTATTCAGTTTTTCTTAAGCACTATTCTTTCTGCAAGAATATAGAACACTCAAAAGTAAGAGTTTTTCATAAACCTCATCCATGTGTACATATCCTTCCATGGTCACTGGGAATCCTGACGTGGCGCTGTAGGATAAGCACTGGACCACACAAGGTCAATTTGAACCGAAAGGTGAGCAGTTCAAACCCACCAGTCAGTCGCTCCTTGGAAACTCTATACAAGGTATCTATGAGATGGAACCAACTCAACGGCACCGAACAACAACATGGTGACTCACTGCTACTGCTTTTCCTCTAGAACCCTATTCCACATTTAACCAGGTCTTGGTTTCACTTACTTTCTAGTTCGTTAATGATTTGATTATTATGTAACTTGACCGCTCGGTGCTGTTCCACTTGATCTTCCAATTCAAATATGGTTTCCTTCATGTCTTTTATCTCTGCGTCACTCTCTGAGGATTTCTCCTGCAGCTTTAGACTGGTTCTGCTCAGCTGTTCAGCTTGACGATCACATATATCCTTCAGATAAGCATAATCCTTTTCCACCTAAAATAACAAGTTTTTATTCTGGTGAGTGTTAGAACAGTAAGTTACCATACAGTAGCAGTAGGTTCATCAAAACAAGAGCAGAGGATGTTACTGGTATATGCTGCACTGGGCATAGTTTCTGTATTCTTTGCCTCTGACACAACCAAGGCGATGGATATTCACAATGTTTGTAAATAACTGAGTAGATTTTGCACACCTTCCTACAATCAGAAAGACGGCTGCACATTCTTTAGTACTCTTTTCTACACATGGGGTGGACCAGAACTTCATACCTGGGGAGCTGGGGCGTGTGGCTGCCCCTACTTCATATCTGTTATGGAATGGTGCCCTCTGCTGGTGAGCTATGAACAACACTCAGCTCCTGTCAATGGAACAAATGATAGAACAAAAAGAAGCCCCCTGGTCCTGCACTAACCCCCACAATCTGTTATTGGATCAGACTGTTGTGATTTGGCTTTTCACGGGCTGCTTTTCAGGAGCAGATTACCTGGCCTTTCTTCTGCAGCACTGCTGAGTGGCTGTGAACCACCAACTTATTTGTAGCTGAGAGCAAACAGTCTGTATCACTCAGGGACCTTACAAATCCCCAAATCTTCAGTGATAAAATACTTGTTTTGTGGTTACAGCATTTCTTTAGAGGCATACAAACGAATGTAACGGAGAATACAGACTGCATAGAATATAGAAATAACAGAAAAGGCACACCCTTTTTCAATTATTAAAAAAAATTAAAATATACAAAATAGCACTAAAAATGAGACAACCATGTAGCAAACAGATTTAATAGTGAGACCTGGTGTGGAGCTGTAAGATCAACACTGGACATCTAACTGCAAGGCCAGCAGTTCAAACCCATCAGCTGTTCCTTGGAAACCCTATTATGGATCAGAACTGACTCGACGGCACTTAACAGCAACAACAAATTTTGCCACATTTAACAATATATGTTAAAGTTTCAAGCTTTGCTTCCACCCTGTTGTTACTGTCGTTGAATGCTGTTGAGTTGGTTCCAACTCATAGCGATCCTTTAGAGTTTCTAAGGAGCAGCTGGTGGGTTTGAACCACCGACTTTGTGATTCAAACTGACCTTGTGATCCAGTGCTTATCCTACAACCAGATCTTCCACCCTCGTGAGTAAAAATGATTGGTGTGTGGTCACTCCTTGAAACATTTTTCATCTTTACTATATATAATACATGCATGTGGACTCCTGGTGTGGGGCCGCATTGGACTGCGAACCACCAAGCTCGGAGATTCCAACTCACCAGTTACTCCTTGGAAACCCTGTACACAGTTGCTATGAGTCAGAACCGACTTGACAGCACTTAACAACAATAACTAAGGAGCTCTGGTAGCATAGTGGTTACGAATCAGACTGCGAACCTCAGGGTCAGCAGTTTAAAACTACCAGCTGTCCCATTGGGAGACAGATGAGGCTTTCTGCTCCCGTAAAGATTTACAGCCTTGGAAACCCTGTACAGGGTCGCTATGAGTCAGAACTGAGTCCACAGCACACCCCCACCCCCTCATATGGAGCCCTGGTGTGGTGCTGTGGGTTAATGCACCGGTTTGCAAAGTCAGTTTGAACTGCAAGAACGACGGTTCAAGCTTACCAGCTGCTCCTTGGAAGCCCTATACAAGCTCGCTATGAGTTGGAACCGACTTGATGGTATTTAACAACAACAAACAAGAAGACATCTTCATAATTTTGCCCCCTGTATGCTACACCACAAGGAGATCTGGTAGCATAGTGGTTACGAATTGGGCTGTGAACCGCAAGGTCAGCAGTTTGAAACTACCAGCTGCTCCGCGGGAGAAAGAGGAGGCTTTCTGCTCCCATAAAGATTTACGGCCTTGGAAACCCTGTAGAGGGTCGCTATGAGTCGGAACCGACTCCACGGCACATAACAACAACAACAACAATGCTACACCACAAGGAGCTCTGGTAGTATAGTGTTTACAAGTCAGGCTGCTAACCTCAAGGTCAGCAGTTTGAAACCACCAGCTGTTCCGCGG